CAGTTTGGCATATTTGCCTCCCACTTGGTTTTAAGGGACCAAAAGTAATTGGTACAATTAGCTTCTCTAGCTGTTCCATGGCCAGGTGTGTGTGTTATTCCCTCATTATCCCAATTACAACGAGCAGATAAAAGGTCCAGAGTTCATTTCAAGTGTGCTATTTGCATTTGGAATCTGTTGCTAAGTCAACTCTCAAGATGAGATCCAAAGAGCTGTCACTATCAGTGAAGCCATCATTAGGCTGAAAAAACAAAACAAACCCATCAGAGAGATAGCAAAAACATGAGGCGTGGCCAAAACAACTGTTTGGAACATTCTTTAAAAGAAGGAACGCACCGGTGAGCCAGCAACACCAAAAGACCCGGAAGACCACGGAAAACAACTGTGGTGGATGAGCGAAGAATTCTTTCCCTGGTGAAGAAAACACCCTTCACAACAGTTGGCCAATCAAGAACACCCTCCAGGAGGTAGGTGTATGTGTGTCAAAGTCACCAATCAGGGAGAAGACTTCACCAGAGTGAATACAGAGGGTTCACCACAAGATGGAAACCATTGGTGAGCCTCAAACACAGGAAGGCCAGATTAGAGTTTGCCAAACGACATGTAAAAAAGCCTTCACAGTTTCTGGAACAACATCCTATGGACAGATGAGACCGACATCAACTTGTACCAGAGTGATGGGAAGAGAAGAGTATGGAGAAGGAACTGCTCATGGTCCTCAGCATACCACCTCATCAGTGATCATGGTGGTGGTAGTGTCATGGCGTGGGCATGTATGGCTGCCAATGGAACTGCTTCTCTTGTATTTATTGATGATGTGACTGCTGACAGAAGCAGCCGGATGAATTGTGAAGTGTTTCGGGAATATTATCGGCTCATATTCAGCCAAATGCTTCACACAACTCATTGGACGCTTCACAGTGCAGATGGACAATGACCCAAAGCAGACTGCAAAAGACACCAAAGAAGTGGAATGTTCTGCAATGGCCAATCACCTGACCTGAATCCGATTGAGCATTTCACTTGCTGAATACAAAACTGAAGGGAAAATGCCCCAAGAACAAGCAGGAACTGAAGACAGTTGCAGTAAAGGCCTGGCAGAGCCTCACCAGGGATGACACCCAGCGTCTGGTGATGTCTATGTGTTCCACACTTCAGGCTGTCATTGACTGCAAAGGATTTGTAACCAAGTATTAAAAAGTGAAAGTTTGATTTATGATTATTATTCTGTCCCATTACTTTTGGTCCCTTAACAAGTGGGAGGCACATATGCAAACTGTTGTCATTCCTACACTGTTCACCTGATTTGGATGTAAATACCCTCAAATAAAAGCTGACAGTCTGCAGTTAAAGCACATCTTGTTCTCTTCATTTCAAATCCATTGTGGTGTATAGAGCCAAAAATGTTAGAGTTGTGTCCATGTCCCAATATTTATGAACCTGACTGTATATCTCCCAGAAGTGAGCCCCCCTCCCCCGGACTGTATACAATGTATATATATATATATATATATATACAGTATCCCCCAGAAGTGAGTCCCCCCCCCCTCCCCCGGACTGTATACAATGTGTGTATATATATATATATATATATATATATATATACAGTTGCAAGAAAAAGTATGTGAACCCCTTGGGATTACGTGGAGTTTTGCATGAATTGGGCATAAAATGTGCTCTGAACGTCATCTAAGTCACAACAATAGAAGAACACAGTCTGCTGAACATAATACTACACAAACATGAGACTTTGCCATGGTGTAATTGCACATTCCATTGTTAGACCGATCATTTCTGTGTGAGGGGCGAACATTCCATTGTTAGACCGATCATTTCTGTGTGAGGGGCGAACATTCCATTGTTAGACCGATCATTTCTGTGTGAGGGGCGAACATTCCATTGTTAGACCGATCATTTCTGTGTGAGGGGCGAACATTCCATTGTTAGACCGATCATTTCTGTGTGAGGGGCGAACATTCCATTGTTAGACCGATCATTTCTGTGTGAGGGGCGAACATTCCATTGTTAGACCGATCATTTCTGTGTGAGGGGCGAACATTCAGCATCAGCCGGGGAGCAAATACACATTTCCTGCACTGTGTATATATATATTACAGTCCGGGGGAGGGGTGGACTCACTTCTGGGAGATACTGTATATAAAACACACGCCCACAGCGACTAGCTAACCGAGGCGTGTACGTCCGGCCGTGACTTGGGGTAAAGAGGGAATGTTTCTCTGGGATTCTACAGAGGCTACAAATACACTTTTACATGTAGATGTAGCCTACAGTGTGTCCAATCAGAAGGAAGGATTTCCATCTCTCCGCAACTAATATTGTATCTTTTATGAGAGATGGAATAGATTCCTCCAATCTGTGGATATAAATCTGGCAGACATTTCGGAGCCCCCTCCTGGTCTCCTGTGGTTTCTTGAAGCTGAAATGGCTGGAGCTCTTCTTTTAGATTCAAGAAGGTGGCAAACTCTGGCTACATAGGTGAGAAGGTTGTATTGGCACCTCGGTGACACCTCCAGACTAGAAGCTGCTCTGTCCTTTCAGATGCTGATTGGAGGACATATGTCTCTGACTGAATACTGAACACTGATTGGAGGACATATGTCTCTGACTGAATACTGAACACGGATCTGTAATAACATGGAACAAGATGAGATCTACAATGACATCTTTCTACAGATCACATCCCATCCCAACTACCCAAATCTTACATCTATGTTACATCTCCCCCCTTCTAGATGATGCATAGCTGAGCCTAAACAGGTCGGCTAACGCGTCTGCCTGGAAGGTTCCCTAGATTGGGGGGTGAAGGTTGTCCCCCTGCAGATTGGAGAGGGCTACTGCACAGCTCTCTGAATGATCCTAAAGGGTCTGGATTAGAACTGGCCAGCAGATCGCCCTGTGGATCCACTGGCCACCGACTACCTACTAGAAAGGTACAGGCAAACCTGTCATTGTGGGCTGTCATCATTTTCCACCACTGGCCATGGTCATCTGGTGGTACTCTATTAGCTTCACCCAGATGTTTTGATCCTGGCATAAGGTCGTTCCTCGGTGATCTGGACCTGGTTCCATGGCTTGGTTACCAGAACCTCCACCCTCTGACCTGTCTCCCACATTCTGCTTCAGCCAGAGACCAGTCAGCACAACCCCTGAGTTCCTCCAGCCTGACATCCAACCTATCAGCCCGCGAGAATACAGTGTTGTCAGATACAGTCTCTGAGGAAGCAGATTCCGAGGGGGTCAATGTTCCCCCATCATCCTGTGATCCTCCCCTTGCTGTGCACAGCAATGAATCCTCAATCATGATACTCATAGCTGTGGGGACAAAGGATAAATCCACAGAAGACTTTATTCCACCAGAAGTCATCCTCTGACCCGTGCCACACCCTTCTACTCTGTCCTCCTCAGCAGAACATCTGTCAGCACCACCCCTGAGCTCCTCCGGGCCAACCTCAAACCTATCAGCCTGGAAGGACTCAGTGATGTCAGCTGCAACTGCTGAGGTGGAAGACACTGATTGGGCTGAATTGGCCCCAACATCCTGCAGACTTCCCTCTGCAACACACAGAAATGAGTCTGCACTGGCAGCACCCGTGACTCTGGTGAGAGAGGGGAAGGTTACAGGAGAAAGGATTCCACCAGGGGTTGTCCTCCGACCCACATCACACACCAGGGGTTGTCCTCCAACCCACGTCACACACCAGGGGTTCCCCTCCGACCCACGTCACACACCAGGGGTTCCCCTCCGACCCACGTCACACACCAGGGGTTCCCCTCCGACCCACGTCACACACCAGGGGTTGTCCTCCGACCCACGTCACACACCAGAGGTTGTCTTCCGACCCACGTCACACACCAGGGTTGTCTTCCGACCCACGTCACGCACCAGGGGTTGTCCTCCGACCCACGTCACACACCAGGGGTTGTCCTCCGACCCACGTCACACACCAGGGGTTGTCCTCTGACCCACGTCAAGCACCAGGGGTTGTCCTCTGACCCACGTCACACACCAGGGGTTGTCCTCCGACCCACGTCACACACCAGGGGTTGTCTTCCGACCCACGTCACACACCAGGGGTTGTCCTCTGACCCACGTCACACACCAGGGGTTGTCCTCCGACCCACGTCACACACCAGGGGTTGTCCTCCGACCCACGTCACACACCAGAGGTTGTCTTCCGACCCACGTCACACACCAGGGGTTGTCCTCTGACCCACGTCACGCACCAGGGGTTGTCCTCCGACCCACGTCACGCACCAGGGGTTGTCTTCCGACCCACGTCACGCACCAGGGGTTGTCTTCCGACCCACGTCAAGCACCAGGGGTTGTCCTCTGACCCACGTCAAGCACCAGGGGTTGTCCTCTGACCCACGTCACGCACCAGGGGTTGTCCTCCGACCCACGTCACACACCAGGGATTGTCCTCTGACCCACGTCACACACCAGGGGTTGTCCTCTGACCCACGTCACGCACCAGGGGTTGTCCTCTGACCCACGTCACGCACCAGGGGTTGTCCTCTGACCCACGTCACGCACCAGGGGTTGTCCTCCGACCCACGTCACGCACCAGGGGTTGTCCTCCGACCCACGTCACACACCAGGGGTTGTCCTCTGACCCACGTCACACACCAGGGGTTGTCCTCTGACCCACGTCATGCACCAGGGGTTGTCCTCCGACCCACGTCACGCACCAGGGGTTGTCCTCCGACCCACGTCACACACCAGGGGTTGTCCTCTGACCCAGGTCACACACTTCCACTCCGTCCTCAGCAGAGCATCTGTCCGCACACCTGAGTTCCTCTGGGCCGGCATCAAAACGTAACAGCCTCTGGAAACTCAGTGCCGACAGCTACAGCTACTGAGGGAGTAGAGTCAGCCTAGGTCAGATTTAAACCCTCATCCTGTGGTCCCTCCTCTGTGCTCCACAGTCCAGGATCCAAAATGGCATGACTGGTATCTGTGGGAACAGGGGAGCAGACAAAAGAAAACTTCATCCCACAAGGGGATAGAGGCACCCAACACTGGTCTTTACCAGGATTTACTGAAATGCAATGTGCCTTTTCCCCGGGAACTTCAGAAGAACTTTCTGTTTCTTTACATATGGGTACAAAACCAAATTTTTGCTAGCACAACCCCATCATCCTGCCATTCGCTGCTGGCGGTCCTTCAGCCAAACCCCGGAGATCCTCTGGGCTGCCATCAATTTTTACAGCCTCAGGGGACTCAGAGCTATCTGCCACAGGTGCCAGGTGGACAACAGTCTGAGGAGACCTTAGGCCCTCTGGGCCAGGTTCACAAGGGTCCAACCCAGCTGGATTGGGCCCTTCCACAGACAGTTCCTCTGTAGCAGTGGCAATAACTGGTCCGGGGCCAACTGGTGGGCACCCCAAGTCACCACTGCAGCAGAGGGAAGGTCTGCCTTGTACTTGTCATTACATTTGGCATCACATAAAGCATTACAAGTTTCAGAGTCTGTTGTGGTTTTAAGTTCTTCCCCAGGCCTTGACTCCAGAGAGCCACTAAGAGCCAGGACCTGGTGCATGGTCCTTCACCCCCTGACCCTCCCCAGAATTCCCAGTGTGCACTGAATCACCCAGCAGTATGTTACGTTAATCTGGGGCCTCAGATAGAGATGTAGACTTTAGCAGGGTTGACTTTGACTTGTTCTGAGCTACCAACTGCCCCAGGTCAGTACCCGATAGTATGTTAGTGGCATCCTCTACGCACACTTCTCTCACTTTGCTTTTGGATTCTTGGGCAAAGCAGCACAAGCTGTAGGTAGCACAGGGGTGACTCCAACCCCTGCGATAACTCTGGCTTTCCTTGGGACCACCTCCTCACGACTCCTCCATCCGGGAAGAGCTAGGACATCCTCGGGTCCCTGTTGGTGCTCTTTTTTTCAAGTTGTAGTAACCCGGAACTGACACTGCAACTCGGGGTTATCACTTCCCAAAAGCTGTAGGTTTGTTCCCAGAGAAAAATCCTCTCTGCGTGCTGATTTCTCTGCCGAGAGGGTTTGAGAGCAGAGTCACACCGATTCACGCAGTCATCTGCAGGGGCACAGTCGCAGGGTGTCACCGACATGGTGCGTTGTTCTAACTCCATCTCTATCAGAGCACCTAGGATCTGGGGACCTCGTCTTGCCAACTTTATTGATGTCCTTTTGTCAGGAATCTAGGAATGACCAGAAAGGTGTGGACTGACACAGGGAAACGCAGGCCTCAGGTACAATATAATACAGTTTATTATTAGCCACCCAGATATATATATATATATAAACGCACAGCGAGCAAACCAACCTTCCAGATATATATATATATAAACGCACAGTGAGCAAACCAACCTTCCAGATATATATATATATAAACGCACAGCGAGCAAACCAACCTTCCAGATATATATATACGCACAGCGAGCAAACCAACCTTCCAGATATATATATATATAAACGCACAGTGAGCAAACCAACCTTCCAGATATATATATATATAAACGAACAGCGAGCAAACCAACCTTCCACTAATCTTAGGAGGTGCAGGAACACGGGCGTAGTCAGGGCTGGAGAGGTGGAACGGTCAGGCCGGCCGTAGGGTTCTGTAATGACCGTTTGGTGGTACCTCTAGCGGTCCCCAGGACAGGATTCCCCAGGGCGCGGAGTCTAAGTCCCAGTCTCCTTATTCACCAGGGCCCCTGATGGTGGGGATGGACTTGGAGCAGACAGGAACCAGGTCGCGGCCCCTGAGTACACCTGCTAGTGATAGAGGGATCCGCCAGAGGTATGTGCAGGTACGGCTGGATCCGTGCAGGATGGATGGATGGCAGAGTAGTTAGCGTGGTCAGACGGGCCAGGTCAGCAATGTGCGGGCAGCAAGGTACCAAAAGGAGCAGGCAGAGAATGGTCAAGGTCACAAGCTGGGTTCAGTAACTCACGGACAGCGCGGTACAGGGGATCAGGCAGAAGGATGGTCAGGCAAGCCAGGGGTTCAACAGGAGACGGTCAGCAGAGGTCAGGATCAAGCAGGGTCAGCAACGAAGCAGGAACACAGGATACCAGGTACAGAGGCTCATGGGAAAACATACACCAAGGCCCAGATCACAGGCCTGGTCATGCCTTAAATACACCTCCTGCAATCAGCCCCAGGTTTGGCTGATTGCAGGTGTGAGCTTCTGGCTGCTGAGAGCACCCGCTGGTCAGCTCTGGTACTGCAGCCCATACGGCAGGTGAGTCCCACCACCAGTGCTGAGTCCATTCCTAACACCTTTAGATCAAAGAGGTCCATCACAGTCTCATTTGGTTGTCTCAGGTACCAGTGTATTGACTTATCTTCCTGGGTTACCATCTTCACGTTTTTGCCCAAATAAAAGATAGAAAAAGAAAAACAAAGAAGGGGGGGGGGGGCAAATAGCCAAGTATGTCTTCTACAAAACACAAATGATGCACTGAGTGAGCTTCTGTAGGTCAGTCACTTCTACTGAGCTTCTGTCAGGGCAGGAGCTGTGGAATGGACAGGCAGGCCTAGCGGCAGGGTCACGCACCGACTGACGACAACCACCACCCACAGACCGGAGTCCCTCAGGGCGCGGAGTCTAAGTCCCAGGCTGCTCTTCACCAGGGCCCCTGATGGTGGGGATGGACTTGACGCAGCCAGGAACCAGGTCGCGGCCCCCAAGACACCCCAGCTGCGGTAATGGCCGCCGCCAATGGCGTGTAGCTGGTAGGAACCAGATCAAAGCATAGTCAGGCAGGCCGGGTCGATAACAACGGGACAAACGGTACAGAACGGTAGACAAGAATAACAGGTCACAGGCCGGGTTCAGCAACGGAAGGTCAGATCAATGGAAAACGCAGTCAAAAGCCGAATCTGTTTCCAGGAGAGCCACGAGAGTAGAAACAGAGCTATAGCAACACTAACACACAAGACACGAATGCAGAGAGCACTTGCAGACAGCAGGCTTAAATGTGATGAACCACACCCTTCTGAGGAGGAGCCGCAGAAGCCTGAAGGCATAAAGGTTCCCACCATGCTTTGCAGAAACCCAAGATGGATGCCAGCACATGGGATGCACAAGCTCTGAGGAAAGGTAGGACCTTGACAGCTTCCAACCTTTAGTACACGGGTTCAATGAATAAACCATGCACTAACGTACTAAGCAGATCCTGCTCGCTGACGCCAACTGTCACAGATCCAACCGCACGCCCACAGCGACTAGCTAACTGAGGTGTGACTTGGGGTAAAGAGGGAACAAGGGGGACTTTGAGCATATAAGACTGGCCGTGATATACTTTCACAGCCCGCACTGCCTCTGGCCACCACTAGAGGGAGACTCCAATCCAGATGGCTGACCACACACAGGCAGATACTAATCTTACATACAATCTGATGCACTCTAAGGGTTGGGGAGCAGCCTAGCAATCGCACACCCTTCTAGGATTCCTCCAGCTATCCTACAAGCTAGAACCCCGGGGTTAATCACTCTTCCACTGTCCCCACACCAGACACACAACAAACAGTAGCTTGCCACCACCCAACAGTTTGTCCGCAGACTGGTCTGCTGGGCCACCACAGACACACAGATCCCCGTCTGGCAGATCTGCTACTTTACAATCTGCATGCAGTGCAATTGCATACAGATTGGCAATGAGCTTGACCGAGACACTACAATACAACGATCTCTCCGGAGATATGAGCTCGAGCTTAGTACACAGAAGTCACTTATTAATTTTATGATTTAATATCCCGAAAGTGGGCGGAGCATAAAATATGTACAAAGTATAAAGAGTTACAACTAATACAGAAAATACAAGAAGACACACAATGAGCTATTGACTATAAAATAAAAGGGAATAAAAACAGAAATAAAACTTTCCCCAGATTTATCCTGCAACTGGAGCAAGTCAGAGAAAGTCCGCGATTCGCCAGTCAATAGAACCGACTCCGTACGAATCCTACTGTCCATATCTCAGGGTCCTCAATTTATTGAAATATGGATGTGGGCGGGACTTTAGCCCTTGGCCAATCAACCCTGGGGGGGTGTTCCTGTACCAGCCTACAGGACTTTCTGTGTTCTGAAGTGCCCAATCTCGATTGGACCAGGACCGGTTCGGATAACCAAGTCAGGGATAGAATTTCTGACACCAGCGCTGCAGTCCGATCGCGGTAGTACCAATCACTTTTCAGCTGTTGCAATCAGGTGCCA